GGGGCTGAAGCTGTGGGCTCACCTACGTAACTCTGGGCCTTATTTATACCCACATGGGTGAATTCTCAGGAAGAACGTATTTTCCAAGTTTTGTCATGGAATTTGTCATGACTTAGTCCTTTTTTATTAAATGTAATTAAAATCTGTATTATACTTAAACATTCTCATTTCACTTATAGCTGCGTGTGATGGGTTGGAAGACCCTTAATGCTGCTGTGGGTGGACAAAGCGGCTGCAGCAATGGTCTCAAACAGCACTGCCTGTGAGGCCTGCCCAGCGAGGGCAGCACACTCGCTGTCCCACTGGACACAGGGCTGTGACGAAATGAAGCCAGTTCAACAACAACACTTTCCTAGCACTTCTGCAATGAACATGTCTTTCCTTACCTTGGATTCCTCCAACCCCACCAGCTTCGTTCTCAAACCATAACATCACTAGTTCCTAAACTTTTAACAAGACCACCAGGTTCTCAAGTGTGAGACACATTCACAATTCCATACCCTGTGAGTCCAGGAACCAGCGTTCTCTCCCGAGACGCCTGCCCTCCGAGCACCAGCCCCCCGACCCACACCCAAGCTCCACGTCTACCCTCCTCACAGCGTCCTTCACTCGCTCACAGCAAGCTCCTGCCGGCTGGAGTCCGTCAACCATGCACACCACCATTTCCAGTAGGTATCTGCAGCCCAAGAACTGCTTCCTGACAGTCAGTGGCTGCCCGCTTGCCTCTACACAAACCCCGAGTAGCCAGCCTAGTTCAGACCACTTGCCACCACTGTCTGCTCCTCGTGTCTCGGTCACACTAACTCGCCCACCACACTGCTTCCCTCGGCTTCGATCATCTAAGGAATGGATGGTGTAGGACTCCCTGCTGCCTCCGCAATGCACACACTCGATGGTCCCCAACTGGAAGTGTCTCTCCACGCTCAAGCGTACTGCGTGCTATTGGGCCCACACACCATGCACGAAGCTACGTCAGATGAGTTTCCTTTCCAAGCAGTCTCCACCGCCGCTTGGGTTGGTTCCTTTTTATCACAGGGACCCTTGGAGGGAGGCAGTGGTATCTTCCGTGGTGCTGATGGCAACTGCTCAGTGAGGAAAGGAGCTGAGACCCTTGTCACGGTTCTAATTTGCATCTGTACATCATCTCAATGAAATGGTTTGTCATGCAATTTTTAAATGACTTATCTGTATGTCATCACAAGAGGGACTATACTAAACTCTTATAAGTCCTATATGATTCTGAATACAAAAAGACCTATGAAGGCTGGAAGTGGGCTGAGGTAAAAACATGGCCAAGAACAAATTTTCCCACTGAAATGCAAGCTAGGGAATGGTAAGACACTGGTAGTGGTTGGTGTTAGGTGTCACTGTGTTGGTTCTGATTGAAGGTGTGGTTGTTGTTGTTGTTAGGTGTCACTGAGTTGGTTCTGACCGAAGGTGTTGTTGTTGTT